GCAAGGGTAACATCTTTATTTAATTACCTTTCTGTTGACATTTCTTTTCTTTGTGTAAATCCTTGCTCAATAGATTGTTGGGTCTTTTTAATAAGGAAAAACTGGGTAATAATGACTTCTACATAAGCTTGTTGACACATTCTGTTATCCCTTGAGGAAGAAGTAGAGTGAAAATACCCTCTTCATGGGATTCAGCTTTGTAGTTGTTGTTTTCTAGCCAGAGTGCCTTTAAAAGGAGGTAGAGGCTGCAGCATTTGGGTTTCTTCAGGCTCCCACAGTAATCCAGTGAAAGGCCACGTGTTGGTTGTTACCACCTTGCGCGGGCAGGAGAGCGCACCGCTTCGAGTCGATGCTGCCATCGGGGTGAGGTCCTTGCGCCCTGCTCCTGCTGGTGGGAAAATCTCCAAGGGGCTCATCCTTGTCTCTGCCATCAAAAGAAGGCCCTGAATTTAAATCGGACTGGAGGCAGCCCAAGGGTTTATGTGCCTGACTCGCAGCGATTCACTTTAAAAAGAATCAACCTCTTTCTCTTTGCCAAAAATAAAACGGTTGGAAGAGCAATGGGCAACTATAGCAGTAAAACACTTGCGTTACCAGCTAAAGAAATTGTGGGTCTGGCATTCTAACTCTAATAAAAAAAAAACTAAAAAAAACCTCTAACTACTTAGTGGTTTTGTAATGTGAAAATCTGCAGCTGATGTCATGTAACATCATGATGAAGCTAGAATATTACTCAGGCCCTGTAGGCATTTGTTACCTCTCATTTCAGAAAGAAACAAAAGTGAATTTCCAATTACGGCTAAGTTTGGGGAACACTGTGGAAGGATCACTGGCTTCAGAAGTAGGGTTAGAAAGAAAGCAGCAAAGGTTTTCCTATACTTTAGTGTAGGAAATAGGAGTAGAGAGCTACAAAAGGCTTTCTCGTGCTTTGCAGTTGTTTCTCTTTTCAAACAACATTGTGCGGTGCTTAAAAATGGGATGGCTGTAAACTAAGAGCAAAACTGTGTACTTCTTAGTAGCTTAATTTGGTGAGAGATTTAAATGTGATTTCCCCCATCCCCCCTTCATATTGCGTGAGTATCTAATGAAGTAAAGAGCTGCAGAAGACAAAGTAGAGGTGTTTGAGCCTATGGCTTGTTCAGCAAAGGGAAACCAGTGGCTTTTCCATGGAGTGATCCTCATGTCTGTGACGTTCCCTTGCTGACTTCTTTTCTTCTTTTTTCTATCCTGGCTATGGAAGTGAAAAACGAGGCCCTGCTTCAAATTTCTGATGTGTGGTAGCTAATTACAGTACACATCATCTTAATAAAGAAGTGTCATTCATTATAAAATATGTTTACTCGAGTTTCATGGGTAGGAGATGGGAGAGCCCAAGCTGCAGGGGGCTGCTGCCAACTGGTCGGCTCAGGCTGTGACTGTGTCAGTTACTGTGTGTCCTGTTACGTTACCTACAAAGCAGAGATGACAAAATTTGTCTGTGTCCTAACTGCCTTGAGCTTTTAGCACATATTTATGGACTACATGCAGACTTTCAGGAGATGAGTAATTAAATTCCTACATCTTGTTAAATGCTTTTTGTAGAATCTTATCTCTTCCTGCTTTAAACAGCTTCCTCTTTCAGTCTCGAAAGCACTTTCCAGTAGAACTGTTGCAGTTTAGAACAAGTATTTTTATGCTAATGGTAGCACATTAACCTCATGTTAAGTTTTGCTCCATCTTCCTCACTTCAGCTTATCCTCGTGTTTTGTTTCATAACACCTCTTGACACTTTTATGATGAACCGTAGATACTAGAGATTATTAAATTGCTTCCACTTGGATAAATGAGAGCTTTGCCATTGGTTCCTCTGGAAACGGGATCAGGACCTGGATAGATGCATGTAATGTCTTGTAAAACACGCTAATCTGCTTTTGGCCTCAACAAATAGGACTCTAAGCACTTCAGAAGCTTGTCCTCTACTTCTCTGCCACACGCACGCTACTACTTGATCAACTGGCAATTGGAAATGTTCAGTACATTACAGTGAGCTACACTTTAATTTGCTGGAAACAAAACCAGCAACCCTGCAACAGGATTGACCAAAAGACTCCCAGTCACAGGTGCTAAATCACACCTGAGTATAAACAAAAATGCATTAAACCCACATAAGCACCCAATGAATCCATAATGAGCTGGTGCTGTCACCGCTACAAACTAATGCCAGAAAAGAGCCCACAGAGGTGGCCAGAGCGCTCTCGTTTTCTGGGGTCTACTGGCACAATAAATATTACTGTGATTCTGATTCAGATCCTGCTTCAGCTTTGTTTAGATGGTCATCGTGGAGGTGGGAAAAACCTGAAGTGTAAGACTTGATCAAGATGTTGGTTTTTCTGGAGTACTGTGTGTGACCCTCAAGTATTCCTGGTTACAGGTTAAAACTGTCCTCCTCTCAGCTCAGTTTCCTTTAATCATGGACAGAATTTTCAAAGGAAAAGCCAATGGTCCTGTACAATCTCAGGGTTTTATTGATCTGACTCCTGCCCTGCCAGGAAGCGCGCTCTGCAGCACTGCAGTCTTAAGCACGGGGAGTTATGCATGGTGGTCTTTGTGTGCCCAGGCACAAGATCAGCTTGCTCTGACAACAGCAGCTCAGCAGTCACCTCAAAGTACTTGGTGGATTGTGGTGGCGTCTGAACTAGCTTGAGACCCCCGAGTTGTAAAAGTACCCTTTCATCAGTACCCTGGTCATCAGTGCCCTTCAGATTTATCAGCAACTAAAGCAGCTGCTGAATTCAAAAGAGTAAGTAAATGGAGCACTAATTTTCATTTTGGGCACAGAGGCGGCATACTGCCCTGTCAGCACCCTGCTAACATTCTTCCAAGACACTTTGAAGTAGACTAATAGCAACGAAGAAAAATGGAGTCAACAAGATTGGAAGTTGGTCCCAGACCTGTTTTTCAATAAAGCTAGGACACGCGTTCACGCTCTGTTTCACCCTGTTCCTGCAATTTACCTTAAGACAACCAAAATTATGCGCTTTCTATGAAAGCAAGCTCTGAGGACCTATCCCCAGCAGACCACTTGCTTTTAGCTTTACTAAATAAGCAGAGGAAGGATGAGAAAGCGCAGCGCACAGCAGCATACCCTGCCCGTACTGTCACAAATTGACCAACTCTGGTAGTAGAAAATGCGGTTGTGTTTGTCTGTTCTAGCCTAAACCCACCGGATTCCTTTAAAGCAGCTTAACCTTGCTTGCTTTGACCCCTCGAAGGCCAGGCGCTGCAGGTCTGACACCCGGGCCCTCTCTCCAGCCAGGCTCATGGCGCTTCAGGTGTTTTCAGTGACAGGAACAGCGGTGCAAAGGAAAAGCAAATAAATGCCTCTGCCTGTTGAGTGGTGACCTCGCTAATTACAGCAGGTATCCTGAGCATCTGTTGTAGGCAGCGCTGTGGCCTTCTCTTACGACAGTATCATAGGACCATGCGTTGGCTCTGGAGGATTGATCCTGCGAGGATCAGTGCAAGGACGTTTCAATGAGAAAATCAGTAATTCTTTACTCTGATTATGATGATTAATCCTGTTACGTCAGCAGCCTTTGGCACAGCCAGTGACAGCAGCAGATTTCATATGGGAAAAAATGAATTCAAGAGCCAAGAACCTTAACGGGGAATTTTGTGTGGTTAAGTAATAATATTAATAAATGACACACAAGCAGCTATAATTTTACGTATATGCAGAAACACACATACTTTCCTCAATTCTATATAAGACTTTGTACTGATGCATAATTGTTTTGTATTTGAAACATCAGCCAAGATAAAAAACTGGCATTGTTGGAATTGACCAGCCACAGATGGACTCAACTGTGGAAGTTTTTGGACCATGTGAAGCTGAGCAGAAATTCTATCACAGGTGCCAATTTCACAAATAAGTAATCACTGTTGAACTGGCAGGCATCCTACTTTCCTCACTTTGAATTTGGTTATGCAAAAGACTAATCAAGACATCTATCATCAGGTACATAATTTAAGATGGGTGGGTCTCTGCTAGAACGTGAAACTGGATGGCCCTAGAGTCTCAGGTTTTGAAGGGGATTTGGCTTCCAGACAGCCCATTAACTGGTTTCCTCTCCGGTTCTGAAGACAAGCACTTGCCATGCGCTGATCAGGTCATGTCCTTCTCTCCAGTATGGTTTCTTCCCTCAGCTGCCATAACCAAGTTGTGCTCTTCGTCAGTTTGGTTTTGCCTTGGATGCATTCCAGCTCATGTCTTTTATGCGTTTGGTATGAGAGGCATTAAGGACGGAAGTATCAAGGCCAGGTTCCTCAGTCCTGTTTTGTTAGGAAAGGCTCATTTGGCAATCCTAACACCATTAAAAATTATTCTCAGTAGGGTATGCTCTGCCAACGTGCGAGCTTTAGCTGTTAAGAAACAGTAGAGAAAGCACCACAAAAATAGGCAATTCTACAATCGGTTCAGATATTTGACAGATAACAAGAAATAGCTCTCTTGCATTTAAGCATGGCATTTAGAAAGCTGGAGTAACACTTTAGGTGGCTGCCCTTGTATCTTGATCTGTCTGCTGCTGAAGTTGCTATCCTCTCAACATTCCACCCGACAGGAGGAAACAATACTATCACCTAGATGTATAGATTGGTAACTAACATGTTGATTTTCCAATCAGAGTCAGGGCAAACACTTCTGCAAGGGTCACCTCCTCAGCTCAGATGTGCTCATCACTTGCCCTGCACCAGCACAGTATTTGAACCCAGTATTTTGAACCCCCCTGTGTTTTCTCACCTGATCACTTCACATACAGGGGGTGTTTCCTATCAAATTTTTTATTTTTTTGTATCATGTGCAAGGAAAAGAGTTGAAGGCTAGGCACCATCTCTTTTTGATCTAATGAGAAATTGCCTTATAGATTTTAGCGGCAGAGAGGACACACCAACATTTTTATTGCAATAAAATTTTTGATTATCTGGGGTGTGCTTGTAAAGACTGCATATAGCCCCATTGATTAATATCTAATGCTAAAAATGCTGAAAAGGTGATGTTCAAGTACCTGGAGGACTACATTGATCTGCCCTACCTACATAAACAAGGAAGCTATATTAGTGTCAATTTACACTTTGTATACAACCTGCTTTCCAACTACTCAAGGGAGATCAATATTTATGACAATTCATTAGAGAATGCAGTTGACTTTATTGTGCAGACCAAAAAAAAATGCAATCACCAACCCACCACTACATTAATTTTATGAAATCAGTTAACAAAATTACTGTAAAAAATAACTTGATTTCTGATGAGCAAATGGAAACAAGTTGTACAGCTCTCCCACATTCCTGTATCGATGGGAGAAAATGACATTGAACCATTATACTCAGTAACTCAAGGACAAAACCACTTCCCTTGCTTAGGAGAATAAAAATATTCCTGTCTTCTCCCCCAGTCCCAAACTCAGTATCTGTTTATTCCCCCGCCCCGCCCCCAAAATCTCACTTGGGAGTTACTGCAGAAGCCCCGCACTCTTTACTGTCTAACTTTGATATGTAAGTACCTGATAGAGCTATCCTACTGGCACGTGCACAATTCAAGTGAAGCACTGCTTGGCTCCTTCCAAGTGTTTTTAGCTTGCCAGCATACTAAGCTTAATCTTCTGGTTCCTCATAATGTGCATACCCGCTAGCATAGGTCCTTCCTAAATTCAAATTGCTGAATACATCTGTGGTCTCAGTATCAGAATCCTTCCCTCCCTCATCATTGTCATCTTCATCATCATCTTCTGCTTCATATTCATCATATTCATCCTCCCGGTCACCTGCATCTCCAGCCTTGCTGGAGGAGAGGCTCTTCCAGTAGGTGTCATAACCAGAAGCTCCATCTGCATCTTCACCTCCAGTTTGTCGGCCAAACTTCAAAGAGCGTGCTGCAGGCAGAGAAAAATCATCACGTTCCCACCCCTCAACAGCAATTTCAGCCAAGCATCTGACATTTCTTTTCCGTCCTTTCTCACTACTTGGCAAAGACCATACAATATTAAGACAGCCTTTTTCTAAATCTATTCTAAACATCTTCAGGTTTAACCCTTACTCTGACAGAACCTTTCTGCTACACAGTCTGTCCCCCTGCAGCCAACTCTGTATAAACAACAACTGCCCCCAGAGTATGACTTAGGTTTTAGGATAAACCTTTGGTTCCCTAGCTAAGAAAACCTGTAATTGGCTGTGCTTCACAGACACAATATGTATTGTGATTTATTTGAGAGCATTTGAGTTAGATTGTATGTGTGTCATCAAATCGCACTCTGAAATTCATTAGCTAGCTTCTTGTACATGAAATAAAGGCTTAGGTGGTGATTTTTCGCATTTTCCCTAACTAAAATCTCAAGCTAAACAAAATCTTTCACTGCATTGGAATCAATTAAGGATTAAGAATGTGAGACTGCTCAATTCTAGAACGAAGAATCACAAAGTTTTTCCCAAAACAAATCCAACAAAGCTTTGCAAAATAATTGAAAGTAACCGGACTCAGTGTTCCTATGCAGAAAAGTAGTCATGGATGGTACTCATACTGCTTGTTAGCTACAGAAGAAGGCTTACTTGACATGCTCAGATCCTTTGTCTGCTGAGTTTCATGGCCACATTTAGGGCAGGGAGGCTCTTTTCCTTTTTCCTGCTTGAAAACCTTACTTCGCACATGATCGTCACAAAAACAAGCCTGGGGGTGAAAGGAGAATAAAAAGGCTAAATGTTTTTATCACAGGAGCATACTCTTCAGCAAGAAGCAAGCAAAAAAGTGTCTAACAGCAGCAGGACTCTCTAGGTGGGATTAAAACTTAATGAGCTCTATCTGCGATGGAACTGGGGTCTGTGCAAAGCAACCACTTCTGCGTTGAAGGCAGTCTCATGGCGTCCTGGGGAAGAGGCTGGATGAAAGTGCTGACAAACAAGTAGAAAAAGTAACAGACAGAAGGACTGGATTATGGGGCTGCCCACAAGGAGCCTGGCAAACTTTGGTTTACATTGACAAGCTTAAATGAAATACACCCAGGGATGTATGCCAGAACATATAACTAGGCAGTGACCCGAAGGCAAGAATTAGAGATTGGAATTTCATGTGTTGAGCACCAGGGTGCCAGTGAAGATATCTGGAGAAAGGAACAATTTGGAATTTGAAATAGATGCTATGGGAGACTGCAGGGAAACATATAGAGGGTAAGAAGAGTAAGAGCAGGCAATGAACCAGCACCTGGAGAAATCTGGGCAATGCTGATGATGAAGCAGGTGGAACTTTTTATGCAAAATTACTTGCCAGTGTGTAAAACCAAAACCATGATGTCAACAAATTAGCCTGTGCATGTGTAAAACTGGATTAGCTGTGGAGATTATTTCTGCTGGATGCAGGCTGCAGCATTTTCTAGTCAGATCATCCCTTGACTGTTTAAAAAAAAAAAATCAAACCCCAAACTTTTTTAATTGTCTTAGTTCTATGCTGGATCAAAACATATTCCAAAGCATTGGATTCTGTTTAAGACCAAGGATTTGTTTTGTTTTAAAGGCCCAAACATGGTACAGCCCCAAACACAGAGGGCTGGACAAAGTGAAGATCACATCACCTGGCATAAGGATGCACAACACTGGGTTGTGGCTAACAGGCAAGCACAGATAAAAGCCCTTTTGTTCCCCCCCCCAGGCTTCAGAAACTAATACAGAAATATGGAAATTTTTTTTAATAATGTGGAGGAAGACATGATAAGGCTTGATACCAGCCTTGAAGGTTAAGGAGAACAAGTCTAAAATCACAGCTACTTGCAACTGTCTTTACCTTACAACGCAGGCATGAATGCTGCCCAAGCCTGTTACAGGAAACACCTGTGGGAGAAAATAAATATGTGAAATTCAGTACTTGGGAACTGCAGATGTGTGATGTTTTTAAAACCTTGTAAAAGTATGTAATAATGTAATTGAGGCATTTGATTCCCTGACATAACTGCACTTCGGCAACACAAATCAGTCATTTTACTGTACAGTACCATTTACTAGGGGTTTTTTTTGAGTCTAAGCCTCATTGCAAAATGTAATTTGACACACAAAGTAAAAGAGGGGGAAAAGTTTATCTGTTTCTTGCGTTTCCAAACTTCTAAAAACAGAAGTTTTGGAACCAATTTTGTATTAAGTGATCACCATGCTTTTCCTTTTCTCACAATGTCAAAAGAAGGAGCGCTAGCGTTTTACAGTCACTTTAAACAATGCCATGGCAGCCTACAATACCTTCATCTCATTTAAATGGGATGTGAGAACACTTAAAGCTTACAAACTTCCAAACCTAGAGCAGCTGTTTTGTTCTGTATTTTCTGTCACATCCTCTGGAAATGTACTTTATTGCACACAACTTCATATGAAAATCTAACTGTGTTAAAGAACTGTAGCTGGCACATGAGCTGTAAAGAGCAGAATCGGTGCTCAAAATCTAACTTGTCTTGAAGCTCCAAACTGGTTTCTTTACTCCACTAGAGGGAGCATAGTAAAGGCAACCACACAGGAATTGGCAGTAACAAAAAGCTGGGTGAATAGTTACTCCTCAAGAAGCAGTAATATGTATTTATCGGTCTCTGTGCAAGTACTCATTCCCTTCCACCTTGCCTTACCCCTGCGACAACAAAGTTTTTGAATCTGGAGTAATAAATATCATAGGTTCTCCACATGAGCAGGACAGCCATGGGATTTAGTGCTCTGTCATGTGTTTAAAAATGGAACTGGAAATGCTAAGGCATGTATATTCAGACATTTCTGGAGTAGCTGCACTTTAAAAAAGTCTCTCAGGTAGTGATGGAAAGTAACAGCACCTTTTTCGCAGCTAGAATGGGATTTAGACTACAATTGCATGACTGCATTTAAACTTCGTGTATTCTGTTAAAGTTCAGGTTTTATAATCTTGTTACCACACACTGACAAAAATCCTGCCTCTCTACAAAGACTGCACTGTGCCACGGAACGTTGAACACAGTGAAAACCCTCGAAAAAGCAATTTCTCTATTCAGGGTGTGACATCACATCTGTGAATTAAAAGCTTCCAACAATCACTGAAAAAACATTCTTGTGGAACAGCTGTTGCTGCTTCAATATTGCTATGCAGGAAGATATTCTGGCAGAATACATCAAGGGAAGCTAATCAAGGCTTCGAAAATAGCTGGCTGGGAAAAAAAGGATGGGAGATGAAAAGGAGATATTTCTGAAGATGCAGACTATAACACTGAAATCAACAAATATTCTGAATTGGGAGAAATCAATTAGGACAAGAGATTAGTCAGTGCTGAAGAAAACAGTCTTATGATAAAAAGCACCTTGAATTTCTATAATAAGAACTGAAAACGTTATAGTAGTCAAAATACATGCATAGAAATTCTGGAAAGGACAAACGCTTGTCTCATGGGATAAACAAAACAGTAGTTAATGGTGGGTAGAAAAGTACTTCTACAAAAGATTAGTTAATTTAAACATGCACAGTTTTTGTTTGGGTTCTTTTTTTAACTTCCCTTGAAGTTTCCCTGTTTCAGGCAGAGATGAGTAGTGGACTAGCAGAGCCAGGCATGGCCATCATGTCCTCTTACAATTACCAGTTTCAGTTTTGTCCACACAATTAATCAAAGTTCAAAAGTTCATAAAGTCTTCAGCTACCTGTTCTTTGCCGGGTAAAAGGGGACCTGTATCAACATTTGGTACGTTACTGACATGTGTCCACAGTCCACTGGTCGGTGAAGAAACGAACACTCAGTTCGTGCTCTGGATAAATACAATTTTTCTTACTTCCTTCAGTGCTCACCCTGTCTCACTGAACCAGATAATGACTGCTTCCCGAGTCATGGCCCTCCTCCTCAGGACTTGCTGCTTTTGCAAAATCAACACAAACCCTTCACCACCATACCACAGCAACCTGGGAAAGTTTAGCCAGACTGACACAGTTGATATTACTTAGGGGAGCCTGTTTTCCATGAGGAACAGGTATCTAGGCATAGCTCATTGTATGGTCAGATAGTGGGAGAGAGCTCCTTCTTGCCTGCAGAGCTTTGTGGAGTAAAAAAGAAGCATCAGCAGTTCCACCAGTTTTGCTGCAGTCCTGGCCACTGCCAAGACGGCAACTTTGGAGACTGCTGGCTCCTGCAAAGGCAATTTCCCATGGGAGACCTGTAAGAGCCAGGCAGGGAAACAATGGCCGTGTACAACCTGGCATGGAGGAAGGTCGGAGACAAAAGCTCTAGTCTAGGTAACTGGGTATCAAGAGCAAGCGCGTAGGAAACGGGCCTTTTTCTCCAGTGGCAGTAAAAGCTATTTGGAAAAGGTGATGGAGAGTATTCTGGAGCACAGAGGAAGCAACTAGAGAGTCTGCTTAGCTGTGGTGAAAGGGACTATGAGAACTTACATTTAAATGTCTCTGCTTCCAGAACTTGGCAGCTGGCTTGATGTTCAAACTGATCATCTTCACAGAGGAAATTGTGGCAAAAAGAGCAGGCGAATATCCTGCCTCCTAAAAGATTTATCAAGGCAGAATAATCAGCAACAGGCACAGGCATCAAGTTCTGCTCTACACATAATTCAGGCAGTAGTTTTGACTGAAGACCAGTTCTCCCTTCTGTCACAAATGCTAAATGTCCTAAATTAGACACTGCCATCCATTGCTACACTGAGAAATACCATGTATCCTACAATACAGGACAACATAAAGCAAGTATTACTTCTAGTCCTTTTCTTAATTTTAATTCAACTATGGCATTAGGTGTTTTTCTTAAATCAGATCACACTCTCTCTCATCCAGTCTCCCCCCCACACCTCTGATGCACACTTGAAATAAACACTTTAAAGGACTCCAAAAATGGAGATCAGTATGGTTTGCTAAGCAATTGGGAATCCAAATACCTGTACTAGCGGAGATGAATGGAGTGGCAATGGCAGAAAATTGTGCATTGACAATCTGATGCAGTGCGTAATTACGTGAAGCGCTTGGCTGATAGGACACTATGCTTTGGATTACACAACCATCCCTGAGTTGAGCACTGTGTTCTTGAGCAGGCCGTTTATGTTCCCCACTGCATAAGGTCTGTTTTTAAAATGGGGAGAATGCCTTGCTTTGAACAAACATACTGCAAGGACTAATCGGTGAAGATTAAAACCACTGGGTTAAGAACATAGGTACAATAACTTAAGCAATGTGAGGAGAAAAGCATTGTTTAGATTTTCTTGGTTTTAAGCGTGAGCAACCTACCGTGGTCCCAGACACTTCTTTCGCACTCGATACATTCTGCATCTGCGAGAGGGCAGATACAGGCATGTGTGCTGAGACACTTCCTCCCGTGACACACCCAAGCTTCACAGAAATCACAGATTGCACCCTGCAATTACAGAAAGATATCATCTTGGGACTTCTGCAATACCCAGAGAGAGACTCTTATTCCATAACCCTGAATGTATACGTTCTCTCAGTGGGTTCATTCCAGTTCAGTGAAAGAGTATGAACTGCATCTGTATGCAGTTGCTCCACAGTTCATCTTGGCTTTTTGATATTCATTTCTGCAAGATTAAATATAATGCAAAATGACTTGGGTTTCTCCTTTTCTGTTTTTTACATTTCTTATCTTAAGTCTTATGCATTAAAATTGTGTCCTCCAGCTGAAACCTGAGATCCATAAATGGTAACAGTTCTGGCAAAAATGCAGTTTCAAAAAAGACCTGGAAATGCCACTAGATTCTTACAGCTGAAATCACTCATTTGGATTTTAAACCATGGTATATTAGAACACAAGCTCTGCAGAGAGCAAAGATCAAATAACTCATTAGAAATAAGTTAGACCCTTTAACTTTCATTTTGATTAAACTACAAGATCTGCACATCAACTATTCCTTAATTGTAGCATTTAAGATGCTTCCTCCAGCCCATATGTAACAAGCTACCATGTGTATTACATGCACACAAAACTAAGAAAACAATGGTGAATCCAAGTTAATTGTTGTTGAAAATATTGCATCCATGAATGTGTGGAATGAGTTGAGGAACTTCAGACTGGAAAGGCCGGCTGTGTTACTGAGAAAAGCCGAGTCCCAACTGGAGGCAGAAACAGGACAGAGGTTTAGCCCATACAGCATTTAATCCAGAGCCTATGACATGTCATACCTTGCTTTCCAGAATAGAACAACTAACTTGTCCTTCTAAGAATGAAAATTCAAAGGTCAGAAGCTGTGACTATCTCTGCTAAGAGCCCAAATTATTTTTTTTAAAAATAAAATTCCCTCCCTAGCGCTATGGAACAGATTCCTCTGTGATACTGATGCTCTCTGCAATACTGAGTAGACAGCAACAAAAGCCCACTGGTTTCTACAGAATGATCCTAGATTTTAATTGAGACTGGGGCCACTGAGCATGTAAGCTCCAGTGCTGCTAATGCGTGTGCTTAGGGCCTGCCACCAACACAGATCTGTTGGCATCCAGGACATGTGTCAGAGTTTGCAGAAGTTGAATCTAAAAATGCAAAATTTGGGTTTCCAGTATAAGGGAAAGATCAGTTTGTGATGATGAGGAAAAAAAACCTGGTACATGCTACCATTCTGTAAATCTGTTTTACCTTTTTTCAAAAAGATTTGCATAGAGTAACCTCATAGTGCAAAAAAGGCTGTAATTTTGTATACATACCACCATTGCTAGTCCAGTACTGTACACACCAGCATGTTTTATAACACAGTCTGAAGACTTCATCATGCATTTGGTTTTTCCTTTTTAAAAAAGAAAAAGGCAAGCAATGAGAACTATATAAAAATAAAAAAAATAGAATGAATGTTCATATAAGAGCAGTGTAGGTTCATATAAGACCTGTGCTTAATCGTAAATCTAGGTAAAAATAATGCAAACAAATGTCTGCAACCTGCAGCCTCTGCAACCTGCAACCCACCCTCACATCTCTCTCTGATCAAATTAATTATTGTGTTTTTTCAGCCAAAATCCCTTGCCCCAGTACTGAGATAATATGGCAATGTGTTGCCTTGCTCTCTGTTTTGAGGCATTGGCAAGAATTTCAAATGTTAAAACAAACCAAAGAACAACATTAAGGTGAAAGCGAGCAACGATATCTTTAAAAGTTGCATGTAAAACTGCTGCTAGTCCTGTCCCACCATAAAAGCAGCATGTGCTGTGTGCAAGGCTGAGATCCTCTGGAAAAAAAAAAAAACCATGTGCATCTGATGATTTAATTACTTAGAGGTACTTGGATACTTGTTTTTTTGGTGGTGGTTGTTGGGTTTTTTCTTTTTTAAAACCATGTAAGAGATTACTTCCTAGACAAAATAATTCCCTTGAAGTGCAAGGGATGGGTGGGAGAAAAAGCACTTAGAAGTCATTCTGGGCCTGTTACTGGGTCTTGAGCACTGCAATACAGCTACCCTCCTCCCGTCCCTAAGGGACTTCTCTAAGAAAGAGTTGTTCATTTACAGGGGCTGTCCCCAATGCTTGATTAAGCACCAAACAGCTCAAATGGACAGCTTTGTCTTGGAAAACCCTGGGACTCAATAGAATTTTGTGGTTGTTATTAGGAATGTTTTTCCTCCAGAAACATCCGGCAGATTAAGATAAATTCAACACACAGGAGTCAACTTCAGATGTATAATACGCTGTTAGACAGACAGCATGTTTTTAGTACTTCACTGCATGATGACAGAAGGAAGACTTATGAAGGATGACACACTGCCATTGCATACTAACAGCCTGGCTTCCAGAAATGCTCGGTATCTGCAGGTCCCAACAAAGGCACTGGAAGCTGCAGATGTCAGCAGCTCTGAGAGTCAAACTACAAAACAGCCAAATTGCTTAATGACAAATTGAAGGATGTGTTGAAACAGTAAAACAACAAAATTCACCTCAAAGTATGAAATAATTATCAATATCCCCTGCAAGCAAGCAGCTGTTTAAAAAAAAAAGGCATTTTAGCCTGATTCAGAGCTGAGTTCTGTCACTAGCTTTCAAAGCATCAGCCTTCTAGTACATAGAAATAACATGAGCAGCACATTACATTAGAAAACCATGCAAGGTGAATAATGTACTGTTGCTTTAATTGATATTAAACTGATCAGAAATTATATCATCCCCAAATAGCAGTATTTATTGATGCCTTGCTGGCAGTCAGTAAGTTTTTTTACTTTGCTGCTGTTATGAAACAACACCCAATGGTCAGTTGGATGTTCTCCATCCTAAAAGGCAGTGAGAAAAATTCTTCTGAAGATCAAATACTGAAGACAAGCCTATGACCCAGATTTGCAAACCTCTGGGGGTCACAGGCATATGCATTAGTCGCATGATCAAGCAAGATCTCTTCTCAAGGAGGATATTCCCAGCAGATTTAAAACAACTTGCTCCAAAAATCACCAAGGTACTTTAAGACAAAGGTACTCTAACTGCCGAGAGTTTAAAAACACAAATGGGACTGAGGAGAGCAGGTCTTCATTATTTCTACTTACCACATTGTGCACAAATGGGTAATTTTTGAACAGAGTTACAGAAGTAGCAAAAAGCTCTATTCTTCTGTCGTCTAGGCACATGGAGGGGAAAAAAAAAAGCAAGCAAGCATTAAAAGACGACCTGTAAAATGTTTGAAACCAATTAATATTAAACTACTGGTTTTAGGAGGGGAAAAATACTTACCTTTGGCACTTATCGCATTCCTAAAGAAAAGAAATATAATACTGGTAATTATTTTTATTCTAGGTAATATGTATAAAATTTACAGACCCCATAGGGACTCTGAATTAGGTTCTGATTAGGAACCAAACTTTTTATTCAGGTATTATACCACTGATGCAAATGTAACCTTAAATATAAAGGAAGGATGGTAGGAAGAATGGCATTCTAGTGGCATTAAATAGTCAATGTAATAATCACTGGGTTTACATAATTTAAAATCAAGTATCGTAATATAAAAATACTTTAGGTTACTTTACCATTGAAGCATTACAAGGATGTTTGGCTAAATCTATGTTGGCTCTTGAAGCCCTTATCTGCTTTTCACGTTCACGGCGGTTCTCAGCTTTCTTACGAGCACCAGTCTTCTTTTTAGGCATTTTTCACTATCTGTGAGGGGAAAAAAATAGGTATATAACGAACGCACACAAACCTATGTATATAAATACATGGATACACAACACATCCAGCACTAAAACTAGATTGTGGCGTTCCCATGTTAACTGTGTTTCATCTCCTTTGTTTCCTTTTCCAAAAGTTTCTTTTCAAACGTAGAATAAGGGGTCAGTCCCTTAGGAAGAGTCATGTGATGAACCATGAAGAATCTTGTGATCTGGAAAGGACTCTTCTGTCTTAAACTTTGCGCTTAACTATCTTTGAAGTGTTTTGCCATAAAAAAAAACCAAAAACAGGGCTATGTTTTGTAGGTTTATTTGTGATGGGCCTCTCTGGTTTTGGTTTGCCTTGTCTATTTAATGAGGATAATATTCAGCTCATTTTCACTTCTCTCTCTTCTCATGCTCACTAACACTTCAATCAGTTAAAAAAGTATTCTTCAGGTAAACGAATTGTGGAGTACTACAAAAATGCAAATTTCACACTTGCTGAAGGCTTAGAAAACAAAATGTCATTATATAGATTTAAGAGCTATGACAAAGGGATGCTTGTACTGCTTATTTATCATTCTAGCACATTAGCAATAACGAAGAGATGAGCATGCGTTGCTTTGAAGATGCCACTGCTTCCCAAGAGGGGTTTGCACTAATCTAATTCCATCTGGTTCAACGCCTGTGTTTGTTCCAATGTTCTAGGAGGGAACCAACACAATACAGTGGGGAGACCATCAGGCAATCAATCAGAGCGCTGCTCTCTTGTTATCTCCACAATGAACTGTGCAGTACTCACATATGCTTAGTTTACTCTGTGTTTATAATAAATTAGGCAAGTATTATCCTGGCTTCATGAAATGGACAACTGAGAGATTAAAGGTATGGTCTGATGTTAGAATTTTGGCACTCTGGATAGACACCCTTCCTTATGCTCCATCTTCATCATCCCCTCTTTTCTGCTGATGTAACTGTTGTTGGCATCACGTTCTGAACCAGACACAGGTTAAAAACAAAACCAAAAAACCCAAAGCCACAAGCACCTCCAAGACCCAGATTAGCACAATCTGACGGGGGAAGACAGTGAAAGGGCAGCAGTGGTATTTGCTTAGCAAGCATGGGAAAAAGAAAGCAGCTAAGGAAGAGGCAAGGACCTCTCCACTGACAAAAAAGTTGCCTTATTGAATACAGTATAAAACCCACTCTCAAGTCTATGGCCCAGGTGGACACACTTCTTCATGCTGTAGCTACCAAACCGTACTTCCTTGCAGGTGACAAGATGGCTGAATGTTTGGAAGTGAGGAGTGCTCTTATTTTAGTGCCTCACTATGGTGCTTCTGTTTTGAAAACCCAGGCTCCCTAGGCAAGTTGTCCCAACATACGTTGCACTGTACAACTGACCCACAGCTCTTTTAGCTACAAGTACACCTAGCAGTGCTCCTTGCTCTGTCTCCGATTTCCCAAACTGCAGAAATATACTTTGAAACAATTGACAACTGAGACTCAAAGGTCATCTTAAAATCTCAACCTCCACTTACAGAATTTGAAGAAAACCACTACAGAGTTAGGGCTTGGTGGAAATCGGCCCATGTGATGGGGACAGCTCTGCCCAGGCAAAGTTCTGATGATTCCAGTAGGTCTCTGGGTGGCTGCTGGGGGCTGCTAGCCTGAGGAAATGGGAGGTGCTGCTCTCCCCAGCCTCACCCCTAACTCCAAGTAGGCATGTAGACCTGCATGCTGGCATCTATAAGGAGAGCTGGAGCATCAACAGGCAGTGAATTGTAGCAGCTTAAACTGGGAAGAAAAATTAGTATCTTCATTCAGAAGATCTTATAAAATAAACCCAACAACCCTAACTTTCCTGAACAAAGACATATATTGTCCTGACCAAATACTAAAATTTGGTTTTGAGAGCACACATAAATCAGTTTGCTAACCCTGTAGCATTTTGCACCATGTTTAAATTGTATTAGTGTCATAGTTTGTGGTCAAAATTGTATTGCTGAGCTGCCTGCTGGTAACTGTCATTATTCCAGAGCGTGACATTTCTGACACTGGGAATCCAATATGAGGTTGCACACTGATTTTCAAACTGCTCGAATGCCGATTTAACAACAGAATCTAATGGTTAGTACTTACACCTTGGCTTCTTCACATTACCTCATAATCAAAAGCACCAAAATGACAAACTGTTTTCATGAAAAACACTGTTTCAATGACTACTGAGGACACAGATTGTAAGAAATGCTTAAGATGGTAGTTTTTAGAAAGTTGCACTAAACTAAACAAGAAAAGTGCAATGTCAGGTCCTTTTAACAAAGCTATCGAGTCAATCCAGACTTTCAAACACCATCCAATAAACAACAACATCCTATAGATCAATATTCTATCACTGTTTCCCTCTGAGCTTTCACTTTTGCTGTTTGCTAAAGTGTTCTAAATTTTTAGGGAATTTACCATCTTTTAATTTTCTGACTAGAGCTTAACAGTGTTACAATGCCAGAAATTATGACAGTAGAAACTTTGTTTACCTACAGTTCCTTTCCAATCAGGGTATCACACCTTTCAAAAGCACTCATCAGTATTTGAAATGCCTCTGCAGCAGGTTTTACCTCCACTTTTGGCAACGCTTCTGTAATCTGAGGCTGATGGATGACCCAAAAAACATATTTAGGCACCACAACACTGTTACCAAATGCTCAGACAGGAAAGTCCCAGTGGAATCTGTCTGCAGTCCAGCTCCTGTGCATGGAAGAGAAAAATGCCTCTGGGGGACCTAAAAGGACAGGTCCAATCATCAAGGAAACGCCTACAGTGAGCTGCTCGCTTAAGAGCTACTGGAGAGATCATGTGAACCTTTTGCTTAAACAGAGCCATCTTGCTGAAAGCCATGCTAGCACCCTCCTTTTCATCTCTGATGCTGCTGTAAGAGAAATTGTCCAGGACACAGTAGGTCCATGCTTGGTGCCCTCCTCAGCCCTACAGAGCACGCGAGCTCCCAAACTGGGAGCGGTTCTGCACGAGGGGTTTTTCTCCATTTGAAATTTTCTATTCAGGAGCAAAATGCTCCAGAATGACTGGGTCAGAGCAGCAGCAGGAGCGAGCATGACTCTCCAACTTAATGGCTGATGCTGTAGCACGGAAAGCACAGAGTTCAGAAATTGGGAGGCTGTGTATGAGGTGAGGTGAGCAGTAGTTCAAAGGGAAAGTCCCAAAATGTGTTGTGTGCGTGCAGGGTCCCCAGCACTGCGTGTTTTGTTCTGTAAGTTTCACCTCCTGTCCCTCACCTGCTGTGTTATTTGCTAAGGCAACCACAGGCAAGGACAGCAGAGCTCCCACCACAGCTCCCAAGGCTGCTTCTGTATTTTACCTGCTGGTTGTGCTATGTAAAATACATACACAATGTCTAGCATCTAAATTCTGTTGAGGTCATAGCGTGCCTCCGCCGTTTTTTCTTCCCCTCTTGAAGATTGTCCTTGGTGAGGTCCCAAAGACACAGGCCAAGTTTGCAGCAGACAGGAAAGCAGATTGCACCAGCAGATTTCTGGATCTTCAGTGCTGAGCCCGACATTCCCTTGCGTCATATTATCTTGCCTTATGTGATACACCAACCACCCTGCTGTCACAAATATAACGAACAGCTGTAACAAGCTATTCACCTGGGGGGCTGGGGAATGGTCGGGTCACTCTCGTCACGCCACGCAAATCCTAACACCCAAAAAAGAGGCCTTACACGTTTCAAGACTTCTCGTGCTTGACCATCAAAAGAGGAATCGCGGTAAATTCGCTGGGTCGCGTCCGATTCCATTCAGAACTCAACAGAATCTGTTTTACCCCTTTGCGAGCACAACCCTTCTCCAGGCACTGCCCTTTCAGTGACTTACTCCGCCTTTTAGCAGCAAGGCGGCTGGCGGCACCTCTCGGCCCCGGTCCCTCCCCTGGAAATGCGCCTCGT